AAACCTCCCCTTTCCCCTCTATTAGCTCTAGCCTAGGCGTACTGCAATAAAAAGTCTAGCAAATATAGAAAACACTTACTAAATCTTAGGGGCCTAGCCCTAATATTAGACTTAGCTGTTTCTAACTAGTTCCTGGGCAGGTTTGTTAGAGTGCAATAGGTCGTTTCCACCGCAGTAGGTGGCAAATAGGGGTGGAGGATATGGAGACAAGGGGAGGGAGGGGGGGGCTTTCAGGATAGGTACCGCCTCAAAGGGACTTAGGGAAAACGCCACACTTGCCAGAATTAGCTAATTGGAACTTCAGTACGCTGCGCTAGTTAGCGCTGGCCTACAAATAACTTACAATTGCTCTTTTAGTTAAAATTATTCAAATTCGCCAAAATTGCACCCGTCCTCGTCGTCGTCGTCGTCGTCGTCGTTGTTCCCGTCGTCGCTGCTGCTGCTTCTGCTGCTGGAGCGGAGAGTAGTGGATTGTAGAGGTGAAAAGAGCTCACTCATGAGGTCGCAAATAGTTGTTTATGGCTAGCGCGCGTGCCAAGCCTATATGTGGTCAGTGCATTAGCGGTGGCAAGTAGGTACCTATACCGAAACCCCCCCTCTACCCCCTAGCTATCTCCTTATCCTACACGTTAGCTAGACCCATGCCAAGCTGTTCAGCTACACGTTAGGACAATAAATAAAACCCCTGGCCAAAAATGTAATAATTGTTTTGCGTTGACCTTAAAAGAGTATCCTGTATAGGGTTTAGCGCATTTTACATCATAACGCATGCTCTATCACAGTGAATTTACCTGTCACGTGTGCTACTACGTATATACATGTTAAGGAGCGGACAAAGAGAGAGGGTTTAGCGATACATACCAGTACTTATACTAAACCCCCCACCTCCTCTTCCTTCCACCCCCTCTCCCTCCCCCTCCTTCTTCTCTTCCCTTCAGCCATCTCCCGCCTATAGGTTTACACTGTGGCTACGCTAATTATTTCATAGATCTTACTATCATCTCTCCCTAATAATACTTAAGCAACGCTCAACCCATATGCTATTGTAACTGTGGAATATCATCCCAATTAGCCCTGCTGGAGTTTTCTGAAGAGACATTAACTTATTGCGCATCTGCAGTAAGTCTTCTACACTGCAGAGGGATAATTCACTATTTCGTGGACTATCTCAGTTTCCACGCACTACTACCACCCACCCTAGCTCTCGCAGCATGCGGTTGCTTACCCCTTTGTGCTCTATATCCTGTAGTTAGTGTCGCACGTGTCTCACGCGATATCATACACATGTACTGCACTATTCACTCATTAGGCATAGCTCCTATCTCATACAGTATATA